CCATCTCAATAAGAAGCACTTATGCTGCTTAATTTTTTCTGGTAGTCATAAAAACGTGAAAGAAACATATAAAATGAATAAATTTTTGTGATAGGGTCTCACTATGTAGCCTTAGCTAGCTTGGAACTCATTCTGTATACCAAGCCAACCTCAAACTCAGAGATCCACCTGCCTCTGCCTCTCCCTTCCTTAAAGCTCGGATGGATGTACTCTTTAAGGTAAAAATGTAAAGGGCCATGTAGAGATCTGCCTGCTAGTGACACATAGAATAAGATATAAATGTGTTCTTGAGCTCAGAATCTTAACATATAATATGGGACGTAAGTGATTTTAAGTGACAGTATTACTTGGGGGCTATTTCTCATCTTTATTCTCTTCCTTTTTCTGTTTATTTTTGACAGAAACTCAGGAACTGTGGGTGCTGTTGCCTTGGACTGCAGAGGAAACTTGGCTTATGCAACCTCTACTGGGGGGATTGTCAATAAAATGGTTGGCCGAGTGGGAGACTCACCTTGCATAGGTAGGACTAAGAGGTAGTTCATGCCCCTCCCTTGCCCTTCATGTCATCAGATTCACACCCTTTCCTGTGTCATTTCCTCTACCCTCTTGGTGACAACTTCTAGGAGTAGCATTTGGGTTGGAAGAGGTTGTTGGGACCACTGCTCTGAGGTGTTCAGTTTCCCCTGGATTACATTTTGGGGACATCTTGGGAGAGAAAGTGAAAGAGAGGATGCTAAAGTTGTCCCAGACTACTGCAGCCATACCTGTCTTCTCTGTAGCCCCAGTTTCAGGGTCCTCAGGCTCACTTGCAGAGGCTAAATACATAGTGCCTCTTCCCGGACATGGCTCACATTAACAATGTAAAAATAAACAGCTGAAAACTTGGGCTGGAGAGATGACCTGAGGGAAATATTTGCTGTGCGTGTGTATGGACCTGAGTTCAGATCACCAGCACCCATGTAAAAGCTTGTGCAGCAGAGTGCATCTGTAACCCAGCACTGGGAAAGGCAGAAATGAGCAAATCTTCAGAGCTTGCTAGCCAGCTAGTGTAGCTAAACCAGCAAACTCCAGGGTCAATGAAAAACCATCTCTCCAAAAATAACCTAGGGAGAGATAAAGATACTGGAAATCTACCCCTCCTCTCCACATGCACCCTGCACACACACACACACACACACACACACACACACAGGGAGGTGGAGCGGAGAATATTTACAGGTACTACATGTGAGTAACACACTCGTACAGACTGATATGGCCCTCATATAGACATCATGCACGAAGCACGAAGCAGCACGCAGTAGGAGTGCATCTTTTGCTCTGTGGAGATTTGCACTTTCTTGTAGGAATTCCCACAAACCCCTACAGCTGAATGCCGTTTCAAGAAACAGCTAAATTGTTCATCTGCCCAAAGGAGAAGCTTGTACTTTTAGCAGAAACATGACTTTTTATATATGTCGTGCTACTCTTAGTGATAATTTACACTCTCGACAGCTCTTTGTACCTTATACAGCAATAGGCTCAAAGGAAATGCTTGAAGTCTCTTTAAAAATCAGAGATCTGCCTGTTGGGGTGGTGTAGCACTCAGAGGCAGAGACCTGACACCCATGAAACACTCACCTTCTTTCTCCTTAGCAAAAACCCTGCCAAAATATGGCTGCTCAGTAGTACAGCCTGTATCCAGCTGGGATCTGACCAGGCCCCAGAGCCAGGTGGAGTCAGAGCCTAGGAATTAGGTTCAGGTTTTGTGAGTTCTCATGGTAAAGTATTGAAAAGAAAAAAATCTGTGACATGAATTCCCAGAAGCCCCTGTATTGGTTGTTGATATCAAATGTGCTTATCTTAACCTTTCTGATAAGCATTCCCCAAGAGGGTTCACCTGTCCTTCTAGGATGTTCCATAGGTGACACTAGGTACACAGTAACATTTTCTCTGCTGTGCAGTTATCATCCCGAAAAATGGGAGTGCCCACCCCAGGAAACATGGGTCACCCTGGCATTTTATTACTCTAAAGGAACTGCAAAGAAAATGAAGACTTGGCTGCTTCCAAACAGTAGGGCCTTATTGATGCTGGTTCACCACAGAGCAACAGATTGAAGGGAAAAGCCACCTTCTCCTATTGTAAGACTTTGTATTCCTTGCCTAACCTCAATTCTCCCAGACCCAGAACCATGGAGTTACCTGCTTTCAAACAGCCTGGGAAACAATAACACTCAGCAGAAAGCTGCCCTTCTAAGACCTTGCCCGCACCCAGAATTGTTAAATGAGGCAAATGTGATGTGATGCTTCTACACCAACTAGAGCAGCTAGGGTAAAGGTGATGCCTGCCGGGTTGTGGGACTCTCAGACTGGGGGCTCTGTGTGAACAGATCAGGAATGATGGAGAGATGACTGTAGAGTTACTTAGTCTAAGACTACAGGAGAAATATTATCAAAGTCACTTTGGCTCCAGATCCTGTTCTATGGATACATCAGAATACTTCTCTCTTCAACAGATAGAATTGTTTTTAAGTCATCATGTTGTACATAGAGATTTGTTTACAGGTGTGCTTTTGTACACTTGTGCATCATCGGATCATGTATATGGCTCCGACCTGTCTATACCTCTAGGATAATATAATATTGTGTATGAGCCTTGTGTTTAACTTTTTGACTATTGTTGCTCAGTTAGAACCAATAATCTTTTTTGAACAGGAGCTGGAGGTTACGCAGATAATAACCTTGGAGCCGTTTCAACCACAGGACATGGGGAAAGTATCCTGAAGGTGAATCTGGCCAGGCTCGCCCTCTTCCATGTGGAACAAGGTATGTAGACTGTGAAGCAAGTGCATAGCTAGTGAAGGCATGCAGATAGATGGTGTCTGACCACTGCCAGGGTCGTGTGTGGAAACGCACTTGCCACAGACCCTGCCGCAAGGTTGTTCAAATTCTTCTAACACATGGTAGGTTCTGGACCAGAGGAACCTTTAGAATACTGTTCTGGAATACTGTTCTCTGAGCTTAGGAAATGTCTCTGTATGTAAGAGTGCTTGCTGAACAAGCAAGAGTTCAAAGCCCAGGAACATATAGAAAGGTATGGCTGTGCAGATCCCTCTAGCTACCTCAGCACTGTGGAGGTAGAAACAGGAGAATCTCTAGGATTTGCTGGGTGACAGTATTCAGGGAAGGAACGGGAGGACCAGCAAGTTCCAGGTTCAGTGAGTAACCCTATCTCAAGGGATGAAAGTAGAACATGATAGAGTGAGACATATGATGTCCTGGCTTCTATGCGTGTGTATGAGCATACACGTGAGCACATACACAACACCTGTCTGCTGTTCTCTTTCACATCAGAGACGACAAAGCAGGAGAGACCATGGTCAATCCTTGACTGTGGATGTAAGAGGAAAGATGTCTCTGTCCCAGCAAAGAGCTGAAAGCATGCAAATTGTATTGCTTTGCTGGTCAGTGTGACCAGACACCTGTCAGGAAGCCCCTTAAGGAAGTTTGTTTGGCTCACAGTTTAAGGGAGTGTGGTCCTTCATGACGGGGAAGGCACAGTAGTGGGCAGCTTTATGGCAGGAGGAGTGTGCAGGAATTGCTCGCTCATATCTCAGCGAACCAGGAAACAGACAGTACAGGGGGCAGGGCTGGTCCCTACCCTCTTCCTCAGAAACCCTGTTTCTCCTGTGAAACCCACTCATATTTCACAGTGTCCCAAAGCAGTGGCACAGCTTGGGTCCAGGTGTGCTGTTTCTCAGTCTCTCCTTTTCTTTTCAGGAAAGACTGTACAGGAGGCTGCTGAGTTGGCATTGGATTATATGAAGTCAAAACTCAAAGGTCTAGGTGGCCTCATCTTGGTCAACAAAACAGGAGACTGGGTGGCAAAGTGGACCTCTGCCTCCATGCCCTGGGCAGCAGTGAAGAATAGCAAGCTGCAGGCCGGCATTGACCTTTGTGAAACCAAGACAAGGGACCTACCTTGCTAGCCTGAGCGTGAAGCTGAGCTGCCTGGTGTGGAGACCTAACTTAATCAATTAGATGCAGACATGGAAAACTTATGCAGTCTGTCCCTCCTTTTGTTGCCTTGATCAGTAAGTCAATGAATGCTTGGTTGAGGGTCGGGTTCTGAAGTGATGAGAGATGCCTGCCTGTATTAAGACCAGGGAAAATGGAAGCCCTGAGGAGCCTGCTCTCCCAGTCTCCATCATGTAAGGCTATAAAGGAGCTGTTAGATTTTGACCCCATGGAACTGCCTCTGAGCTAAAAGTGCCATTTGAATTGGGAAAATGGCAATTTGCAGAATCTAGACTGGGGGAGTGTGGGAAGAAGGGCTGAAAAAAAAGGTGTAAGAAAGACACAAGTCCAAGTCCAAGTGAAGTTCAAAATGTTACAGAGTTCATTCTTAGTCACAAGAACACTGGGCAAGATGTTCAAGAAGGTGCTCTTTGTCTGTGAGGGAGAAGTGGATCTTTCCAGAAAGCTCAAACTTCTCCAACACATATCTGGGCACTTGCAAAGTCTCCCTTGCTGCCCGAGCTTAGACTATTGGAATTTCTTAATGTCTGGGATTTTTCTTGGCTCCCAAAAGCCAGCCCTACCAGAACCAGCCCCAGTTGTCCTCACTGAGGCTTGATAGGACACATGACATTTCCAGCCTCTCCAACAGCGGGGTGGCAGATGGCTGGAGAGATAACGCTGTGAGTCACTAAGGAGTAGCTGCCAATACTTTGGGACGGTCCCAAGCACAGTGAATCAAATTTTCAGGGTGGTGAGCACGATGCAGAAAGTAGTCTCCTTGGTGGAGAGCACTCTGTGCACCTGTTAGCACCCTGGAAATGGCATGTCTGCTGTGATGCGTCTGCTCAGCTTTTTAGTCTAGCAGGGATTCCCTTCTCTCTGGGAAGAAACTGATTAACTTTAACGTGCCACTAATAAAATTTATTTTTTGAAAGAAAAGAGTGTGGTTAGGTGTCACTTTGACCAAGACCAGAACAGATACAAGCTCCCTTCTTGGTCCCTTAGTGCAGGCAGATATAACAGTTGAGAGGACCTTTTGATGAAACGTAAGTGTGACAGTATATCCTGCCTCTGAGAGTTTATTTAGTAGGGAGTGATTTCAAAGCATTGAAGTTTCTCTGAGTGTGTTAAGGCATTTTCCAGTCTCAGCAAGACTCATGGCTGACTGTCTCCCCAACACTTTGCTCAAGTTCACAGTGTGTCCTGACCCCAGACCCTCTTGTGAGTCTGTGCCTGCTCTGCATTAAAGAGAGAGGCACTTAAGAGTCTGAGAACTGAGCTTGAAGCTGCCTCTGCTCACTACCCAGAGGATCCTGGGAACATTAACATTGGAGAATTTCTCATCTATGAAAACCCTCTAGTACTCTGAAGATTAAATGAAAATGAAGAAAAAGTTAGTGTATCATAAGGATCCTCTGGATAAATTCAGAAACGACAGCCAGTCCCCAGTGTGAGAACAATTATGCATTTAGAAACCTTGAAAGCTTCATATGCAGCAGCTGCTGATTCACAGGGAGCATATTGTTAAGAAGTGTATTCGTTTGTTTGCTAGTGATGCCCCAATAAAATCCCTCAGGCTGGGCGACTTAATTATCAGAAGTATGTTCTCTCAGCCAACATCAACAAATGGGGTTTCTGTTTGTTTCTGGTTCTTTGACTGGTTGGTTGGTTGGTTGGTTGGTTGGTTGGTTGGTTGGATGGGACTTTGGAGAGTATTGTTGCTTTGTTAGGGTTTTGGGGTTTTTTTTGTTTTGGGTTTTTTTTTAGTTGTTTGTTTGTTTATTTTCATTTGTTTTGTTTGAAATGGAACCTCTCTATATAGCCCAAGCTGACCTTTAAATTCTCAATCCTTCCGCCTCAGCCTCCCAAGTGCTGAGATTGTAGGCCTATAGACGTGCACCATCCTACCTGGCCACCCAATGTGAGATTTTTTCCAGAACACAAAGAGCCCTCCTCTTGTACTCAGGTGAATTTGGATTTCCCCAGCCCCACAGCATCCTCACTTTAAGTTCATCCCTCCTTTGGTGGTCCTGTCCCCAAATGTAGTCATGTTCTGAGTGACTGGGGAAGGGTCTTGAGATCCACCCTGTGAACTAGAGAAGGTAACAGTAGACGAAGCAGAAACCATGGTGGGAGCTGGAGAGAGAAGAGACCCTTTGGAGAAGATAGCAGTCACTAGATATCTGGGGGGAGAGGGGGATGGGAGCAGAGAAGGCAAATGGAAGATCTTATCTTGAAAGTGTCCATTCTACCGTGCACAAGGGAGGTAGCCCTGGTTGGCAGACCTGTAGGCACTCTGCTCTGACTTCTTGGACTGAACAACGTGATCTTGGGGCACCTGATTGATGGTCCACCCCTTTGTGTAAAATCCCAGTGTGTGTTTGCTAGTGAAATCCACAAGTATTTCACTAGAAATGGAAGACCACAATGGAGACTATAAATGGTTCTCATGTTTATCTCACATGTTACTATCAGATAACTGTCCCGGAGAGAACGACCATCAGTTGTATGAGCACCTCTACGCCACAAGAGGGCAGCAAACTACAACATATAGGCAGCTTGTAGGTGCCCAAGAGTAGTCTGACTCAGAGTAATCTACCCTACACACAACATTTGAAACTGACAGGGTTCCTCATCACAACCCTCCTTTCCACCCAACACCACAGTTTATTTTAAAGCAGAACTGTGCAATACCCAGGCTACTGGCCATCAGGGTCCAAGGGCAGACTGCCTAGACCCCTGCCTTTAGTTATATCTTTCAGCTAGACAGACAAGTAAATTACCATTTGGTCACTAGCAGCCAAACTGGTAAGATAATTAGAACCAAAAGACCAGAACCTAGGCAACTGTATAACAAGAGACATGGGAGCCAGCCCTCTCCCAGGTAAGGAAGGTCCTCTACCTTGTAGCTGCTGCTCAGGAAATGGTCTCTTTTGTGTTTTCAAATAAGCTCTCTGACTTGGTCCTTGTCACAGAGTGGAAGGTGGGGTGTGCATCCCTGTCATCAGAGATGGAGGGTGAAGGGAGGCTGGATGGGGTCGTTCCTCCCAGCCTCCTATCAGTCAACCTTGCACAAAAGCCTCATAGCTAGGATTAGATTCTGTGGCTATTCTAGGGCAATAGGGAGCGACCCCAGCAAAACACAGGGTGTCCTGCTCCCTGAGAGAAATGAGGACCAGCAGAAATAAGAGGCAACCCCAGGTCAGGAAGGGGCAGGGAGGCTGTTTGGAACACTGATAGGACTGGGACAGGCAGGTGCCCTTCCTCAGCTTACATGCCACATTCGGACATCCAGGAAGAGTGGAGCCATAGTGAGTTCTGTGTCCCGAGGGGTCAGAAATGTGAAAAGAAAACTTGGGCATCCAGACCTTCGCGGGGGGGCGGGCGCGCGCCGCGCGGGAGAGAGTCCCTCAGGCATGTTAAATCTGTTTGTGTCAGGTTTCCCATTCACATGTCCTGTGGTTCCCACCCAGATGTCATACAGATCTAGGGGCAGCCCAAAAGCAACTCACCCTAACAACTTTATCCTTCAACCCAATATTGAAATGAAGTTGAGTTTCAGAACCAAAGCTCCTGACTTCTGTACAGAGTCTAGAAAGCGGCATGATTAGCTTGATAAATAAAACCAGTGTGGAGCCGGGCGGTGGTGGCGCACTTCTTTAATCCCAGCACTCGGGAGGCAGAGGCAGGCAGATTTCTGAGTTTGAGGCCACCCTGGTCTACAGAGTGAGTTCCAGGATAGCCAGGGCTACACAGAAAATCCCTGTCTCGAAAAACCAAAAATAATAATAATAATAAAATAAAAAAATAAAAAAAATAAAACCAATGTGGATGAGAACTTAACATAATGTCAGATTTAACATCTACTGTGCTCGTACCAGCACCTGGTAGATTCTGTACAGAACTCAGGAACCTGGGTTCTGAGTTATAATTTGGTGCCAAGAAGAAGAGGTTGAGAGCAGATACAATGACACACACACAAATGTTCCCCGAACTTGTGATGCTAAAGCTGGAGGCTCTGGAGTTTCAGGACTGACCTTAGATAAGGAATTTGAGGCCAGCCTGGGTATGAGACCCTGCCCAATAAAAACAATAGCTTGAGTCTTCTCATCCTAGAAGACAGAGGCTTAGTACCTGGGGCAGGTCGCCGATGCTTTTTTTATGTAGGGGTGCTCAGTCTGCCTATATGTCTACATTCCAGAAGAGGGCATCAGCTCCTTTATAGATCTCTAGTTGCTGAGAATTGAACACAGGACCTCTGGAAGGATTTTCTTTTTTCTTTTTTCTTTTTTTCTTTTTCTTTTTTTTTTCTTTTTTTTAATGAGTGCTCTGTGTGCATGTATACCTATATGCCAGAAGGGGACAGGTCCTGGATTCTCAAAGGTCAGTCATCTTTTGCTAAGTATTTTTAAGAGAAAAATGACCTTTGAGTCTGGACACTGTGGTATACATTTAATCTCCACTACTTGGAGGGCCAAGGCAAGAGAACTATTTGAGCCCAGGAGTTCAAAGCTATCCTGGACATCACAGTAAGTCCTGTCTCCTCAAAAACACTGCAGCAAAGGCAGTATGTGTGAACTGTAGAAATTTTAAAATGTAAAAACAGTAACCACTTGAAAAATGGCTCAGTAGGAAAAAGCTTGATGTATAAGCAAGGAGTCCTGAGTTCTTATTTCTTCAGCACTTGTGTAAAAAAAAAAAATCCATGGACGGTGTTACAGGTGTGTAACCCCAAACCTGGGAGGCAGAATCAGAAAGTTCCTAAGGGCCTCTGGCAACCAGTCTATCCAAAATGGCAAGCTCTGTGTTCATTGAGAGACCTTGCCTCAAAAATCAAGATGGAAAGTAACAGGAAAAGGCCTCAGCATTGATCTACACACTTTTTCTACAGTTTTCCCAAAATGAGACTAAACATGCTACAAGTGTGTGTGTGTGTGTGTGTGTGTGTGCGCGCGCGCTCGCGAGCCGCCCACAAGTGTCAGAAAAAAATTTGTTACATACACCATTTTGAAAGATCACTGGAAACTGAACCCAGATTTTCTGCAAGAGAAGCCTGTGCTCTTAACCACTGAGCCATCTTTCCAGCCCCATGAAGCTCTCTTAGTCAATATTCTCTACCTTTCCATGTCAATAAACTGTTACATATGTTCTCATTCAAATATGCCCATCTTTCCTTACAATGGGGTTATCTAATTTCACCACCTTTATTTTCTAATGTGACAGACTTGTACAGAATCCTGTGCCCACGGTGTGATACTGTCTCCATTGGTTAGGATGCCTCAAATGGTTGAGAGAAGTATGTGACTTAAGACCACAGCCCAACACTGGGCAGGTGGTGGTGGCGCACGCCTTTAATCCCTGCACTTGGGAGGCAGAGGCAGGCAGATTTCTGAGTTCGAGGCCAGCCTGCTCTACAGAGTGAGTTCCAGGACAGCCAGGGCTACACAGAGAAACCTTGTCTCAAAAAACCAAAAAAAAAAAAAAAAAGAAAAGAAAAAAAAGACCACAGCCCAGGGGTACATGCTGGTTATGTGCCAAGTAGACTATTTCCAATAGAAATGCCAGCTCCTGAACATTTCTGGGCCGTGACCTAAAGCTGAGCAACACTGGGCCGTGAGATGGGCCCAGAAGACTGGACAAAGAACTGTGGGTTGTGCCAAAGCACAGGCCCCACCCAGCATTTGGCAGGGTGTTAGCTAGGGTGAGCAGGTGAGAGTCGGCTCACTCTGTGCTGCTACCAGGAAAGGACTCGCCCACCCACTTCCTGCCCAGGTCACTTCCCCTCCTACAAAGGGTCTGTTTGTTGTTCTTCCTAACTACTCTTACTTCCAACCTTTCCCAGGCCCCCGCTCCCCAACACAACAGCCAGGCCACCCCAGTGCATCAAAGCCAAAGGGCATTTTCAGAAGTGTTTGCAAATCAGTGCAGCTGTACACCTC